ATCATATCGTATGAAATTGCTTATTTGCAGGACATGAACACACTTAACTGTTTTGGTCATATTTCCTTAGGACCAGATTTCATTAATCAATGTTATGTTTGTTTTTATTATGTCTTCTTCTGCCAAGACAATCATTTTTTTTTTGTCTTTCTCATGTCAAATGAAATTGCTTATTTGCAGGAAATGAACACTCTGTATCGCTTTTGGTCATATTTCCTTAGAGACAGATTTAATGAATCAATGTATAAAGAGTTTCAGAACCTAGCACTGGAAGATGCAGCTGCCAAGTATAACTATGGTATTGAGTGTCTTTTCAGATTCTACAGGTACTGGATCAATATTCGTTTTTTACCCTCTAGGAATAAATGCAGAAATCATTGGGGTATGCCACTTGCACTTATATGCACTATGATTTGTTTTCCCCCCTTTCCAGCTATGGTTTGGAGAAACAATTCAGAGAAGATCTTTATGAAGATTTCGAGCATCTGGCCCTTGATTTCTACCATAAGGGCAATCTTTATGGTCTTGAAAAATACTGGTATTTTGTATATGTTTAGTTATCTTTGGCCTTCTATTGGAGTGTTTCTAGGAGAATGATAACTTTATTGCTTATTTGCTTGTTTATTTTTTATCTAAAAAAAAGAGAAGATTGCTTTGCATAAGCACAACCTATTGCAAGTCTTTGGCACATGAAATACTTTGTTTTACTGCAAGTTTGGTTATTTACATGTTAAGTTGTAGCTTTTGGTTAGTTAAGCATTTGTGTCCATTCTTTTGATACAGAAAGGAGTGTCTAGGGTTTTTGTTGAGATTTGATAAGCTAATAAAGAAAATAGGTGGAAGGCTTCACGTTGGCTTCACATATCAGACAGGCCTTGACAGTTGGCACAACAATTATGGGTCATGTTTTTTCTATCAAATCATCTTCAGTTTTTCAGCTAAAGGAAATAATACAAGGATAAATATTCATAATAGGCCAAAAGATCGAACTTAACATAAAAAGTTGTAATTATAACAAATCTAGAATGCTGAAACTAAAATGCTGAAACAACACCTCACCTTTTATAATAATGGTAAAATAAACTTTCTACTAAAATCAGAGCACTATAATTTGTAAAGTAAAGCAATTGTCATCGTATAACATTAACAACCTAACTAGCCAAAAATCTTCTCTAAATTGTGTCTATTGTATGAAACTAAGCAAATGTAGAAATTAACTAAATTTTGCTGCATTAATGGAGAACTTGCCTTTTGGAGATTTCTACCTTTGAGATGACGTTTTGGAGAAATTGTCCACTTTGAACTTGTATCTTTCCTTTTCATTTTGAACAATAGCTTATTAAACATATCTGTGCAGCTTTAGTTATAGCTTCAATTTTTCCTATAACTGCATGCAACAACCAGAGTTTCAGATTTATTTTCCTCTCATCTTCAACGTTTCCTAAATACAATATCTAAGATTTTCTTATGTCTCCTTCTACATCGCTTTACTTCCCAACCTTCATCTGGGCCAGTAAGTCAGTCATCTTGTTGTCAGGTTTTAATGAGGGGTCAACTTCCCATTGCTCCTGTTAGATTCCTGTTTCTCAAATGTTAATTTATGGTTGTCTGTTGTAATATTTTTGTGACAATTTCAATATCTTTTACTCAGGTTTCTAATTTTCCTACACAGATCTGTCTAGAATTTTAGTAGGTCTATTCTAATTCGTGTCCTTTGTGTCTATATATTTACAAATGTCATATGCTAGTAAATGTTTAAAAAATAATAAAATTTACTGCCACCAGGCCACATGCTGCAATGTGAACTGCTACTAGTATTTTCTTTATAACAACCATGATTCTTATGGGTTTGGGCACTTTTTGACATCTGAAACAGTTTTCATTAACCATACGATCTCTCCCACCAACATCTAATTATGATTTCATGATGCCATATCGACCACAGAAACTGTAATCTTAATGTAACATATATTTGCAATCATGTTTCCTTGTGCACAATGAGATTTCTTTTTCCCTGTCCTTCTTGCTGTTATGCATAGGGCTTTCCACCATTATCGGAACAAGGACCAGCCTTTGAAGCAGAATCCAGAGTTGGAGCAGCTGCTGAAGGAAGAATATCGAAGCCTGGATGATTTCAGAGCTAAGGAGAAAGCTGAGAAGGCAGTGGTGAAAGAATGCGAAGCTAGCAATAGTAGCAGCAGTGGTCCCTTTTGACTCTTCTTGGTGCTTAGAGCAGTCAGGCTAAATGAAGATATCTTTTTATTTTGAGTTATCTGAGGAGTTAGCTTTGTGGAATTCTTTTGGTTCTGGGGTTGTGATGCTGAGGGTTTAGGTCAACAATAGCTCTTGCAGATTTTGTTGTGATTCTGCTGCTATTTTAAGTTGGTGGCTGCGTTGGGGAATTCTTTTGTATATATATAACAATAATGGTGGAGTATTTTTGAAACTGAGGAAATTGGAAAATAAGGGCTTGAAAATTTAGCCGTGCGCTTATTTTTCATTTGATGCTTGGAGCTCTACCATTAGGTTGCTAATGTTTTTCATGACACTATCAAATTAGTGGTAGGAGACTTTATAGACGACCAATTGCAAGTTTTATCTGCCCTTCTATCATTTTTGTATATTTATTTAGCGAGAAAAATTTCCATCTTTTGGGTGACAGGTGATTGCATATCACTCTCTGACGCTTTGTTTGGGACTCTATTGAGGGGAGGACTTTACTAAGGGGAGAGACGGAAAATTAAATAATGGAAATGCAAGATAGTGAAGGAGAGTGAAAAGATAAAAATGTTGTTTGGGAGTTTTCTAACGGAAATAATTTTATTTTACCTTGTTCGGGAGTTTTCACAAAGAAGAGGAAGGGATGTGAATACGTATAAAGTTTACATAAATACCTTTATATGTTATTAAGATGAGGGTATGTGTTAGTCGTTGATTTTAATATCATAAGTGTATAATTGACTTATCATATTATGAAATTTTATTTTGATTTCCATTCTATACTCTACTGCCCAAATTAAGGGTGAGGAAAATTTAGAGAAATTTAATCTTACCTTCCATCCTCTAAACCTCAAAAGAAACTCCCAAACAAGGTTAAATTAAAATTTCGTTTTAACTTCCGTCCTCTGACCCCCATCCAAACAGACATTTCTCAAGAAGCGTGCAAAATGGGAGGCTTAATCAATTTGTGTCATTGAAGGTAGAAGCGTTTCGAGAAATTTGTTTTATTCTTTTCTAGTTGTTGATTAATATATGATAGGGTGAAGCTGTCCTGTAATAGCTCTCTAGTAACAAAATGAAAGTCTTAAAAAAAAAAAAACAAAGAGAAAACATAAAATATTTTATGCAATACACATTGTATACCTGTTTACTGTAGAGATACGTTAAAAATCTGTAAGAAAATATGCAACATACTCAAGAAGATCCATCAAATTAACCCTATAATAAGGTAATTTAAGTGCAATTTAGCCTTGGGGTCTAATTGGATTTACCTCTAGCGATGATAAGTGAACATAAGCTAAGTTAAAATAGGGGAAGTTTAGGTTATTTGCCAAACTTTTTTGCCAATTTAGTAACGAGAACCGAAGTGAACTTATTTCGCTTCGTTTGGGAAGCGTAATAAAGTGAAGAGAATGTAAGGAAACATATGTAAATTTACATAAATAATCTTATATAGTATTTCACCCCCTTTGAAAGTAATCTAGATACGGGAGTAGAGTTGTCTTTGTGTTTTGTGTAATATTCTCTTTTTTTTTTTTTCCATCAAAAGAACCTTTCTCTATGCAAACTAGCAGAGAGCTCTCTGTTTATGTTACCCTTTTTCTCCTCAATTTATGTTACTTTTTTTTTTGTTATAAAATATTTTGATGTTAATTTTTAGCCCACTTGTTTCTCTGATCAAGTTGACATAGGTGGACATAAGACAAATAAGAGTCACGGTTGTGCTACTCGATGTAATGCCTTATCATTCATTAGATATACGATAACTTCATTTGGAAGTGTTTGCACATCTCAATTTTACGCATTCATCAAATTTTTGATTAGGAATCAAAAAAAGTTTGTGGGTTGTTTTGTGCAAAGCCCACCAAAAAGTTCATGTTAGTTTTGTCGAATTTCCTTAAGTTTGTTTTTTAAGCCAAACATTAATAGAAAACGATGTAAAATATTTACAAGCCATTTTTTTAGGTACGAGGACATTTCCGCTATTATGTGGCTAAAAAAGATAAAAAAATGAGGCTTTTCTACTTAATACATAGCATAGATTTTTCACTTAATAAGGTGAATCATAGCCATGCATCAATAATGAATAATTATGATCAGAAGAAATTGTAACCAATCTACTATTCCAATATGTGGACACTATCAATTTCAATATAATTTTTTGACTTTAAAATTGAAAAGCCTCACACCCTTAGATATCATGTAACACACATAACAATATGTATTTTCCTAACAGTTAGTACTCATTTTTTTCGTAACGATGCAAAAAACTAGTTTTACTCATATAACATGATTATTTTCCTACAATGATGCATAAACCAATAATTTCCCTTAAGTACCCAAAAGTTTACACCATTTCTGACTTTGATACCCCCTCTTGCTCAAAATATGCCCCAAAGTTCAAAAGCATTTAGACTTTGACACCCTAAAATGACTTAAATGAGTACCAAAGTTAATCTCTTCGAACTTTCGGGTATTTCTTGGAACCAAAAAAAAAGGAAAAACTTTAGGGCACTAAAGTTAAAAGATAATATAAACTTTGGGATATTTAAGTGCAAATAACCCAAAAAAGTATGTGTAAATTGCACTTAAATACCATACATTTTCCGATTTGTTATACTTCAATACCATAAGTTGTATTTTAGTACAAAAAGAAAAAACCATAAAATTTTCAAAATTTGCACGTCACTACCATTGGTCATGCGAACACGAAGATTTTTGTCCGAATGTTTCTCTATAATACTTACGTACTAGTTTTAGAGCTTCCTCAACATCAATATTTGTTAAAATTTTCATTAGAAATATCACAAATCTATTTTTAAATTAAGAGAAGTTTGGAAAAAGAAATTTGATTGATTTAATAGCAAATTTAACAAATACTATTAGTTAAAAAGCTCTAAAATAAGCTTCTAACTATCATAGAGAAACATCCGACTGAAAATTTTCACATCTGCACAATCGATGGTAGTAACATGCAAATTTTCCAAAACTTTATGGTACTTTTTACACTCAAATACAACTTGTGGTACTTAAGTGCAACACGAAGGAGACCAAAAGCAGTATTTAAGTGCAATTTACCCAAAAGAAATTTTGGAACAAAAATTTAAGAGGTTAAAAATCGGACAAATTTTCAAAACCAACCCCTTTCACTTTTTAATTGCAAAAAACGATCGCTTTTCAACTTATTTAGAAAAACCAACCTGGTTTCAGCCCTGTCACTGAAACCAGGTCGGTTTTTTAAAAAAAATTTACGAAACTTCACGGGAGTTGAACTCCCGTGAAGTTTAGCACACTTTTAAACTTCACTGGAGTTCAACTCCCGTGAAGATTATTTTGGTGAATAAACTCTACGGGAGTTCAACTCCCATGGAGTTGCAGGCCAAATTCCCCAGAGAATCGCTCGCTGGGAAATTTGGCCTACAGCTTCATGGGATTTCAACTCCCGTGAAGCTGCAGGCCAAATTTCCCAGCGAGCGATTCGCTGGGGATTCTGGCCTGCAACTCCACGGGATTTGAACTCCCGTGGAGTTTCGGCCTATATATACACACGCGACAACACCTCTGCCGAATACGCACGCGACAGCAGCCTGTGCCGATCTCACTTCTCTCTCACCGCAAAATGCCCCAAACCCTAGCTCTCTCTCTCGTCCCAACTCCCGCCGTCCACATCAAAATCGACCGCCTCCCCACAATTCCGACCGCCGGAACCCGACTCCAACCGCCGGAACCCCGTTCCGACCGCCGGCACCTCATTCCGACCGTCGGAACCGCCGTCGTTGCCGGAGTTCGACAGATTGAAGGTAAATTCCTCCCAAAATTATTTATTCTCTTAGTTTCTTGTATTTTCTCGCTATTTCATGGTGATTACATGTAAAGTCTTTTCGTGTAATATTGATCTTGAATGTTTTACTCTTCAGAGGTAATGATGAACGATCGAATCGTAATTTTGTGTTTGTATGATGGGAAGATTAACTACCTCGAGAATAATATGCCCGTTTATGAAGGAGGTGTGACGAGACCATTGTTTATAACAAAATCGTGTACTTTCAATGAGTTGGTTAATGAATTGCACAAACTTACATTAACCAACTCACGTGAGTATCACCTTAATGTTATTTGCAATTATCCTGTTATGAAGAACAGGACAAGCGACATTCAAATATCAAGTGACTACGATATGAGTCTCATTGGTGTCTTACATGACGAGAAACGTTCGATCGAATTGTTCATTGAAAAACATCAAAGGAATTTGGGCAAATCGGTGAATTATGACGGAATGTATTCCCGCATGTTGGAGGACCCTGATGTTGATGTCGTTAGCTTTTTATCTCCTCAACAAGATGAAGGTTGGACACAATCACAATATATGAGCGGTCCTTTGTTTGTGGGCACTTCGAATGCAGTCGATACTAACACGGGAGTTCAAGAAGATAATGCAAGTGTTGAATCTGAGAATGATGATGAAGATGAGGGCTTACAAATTAATAGCATGACATTGATAGATCGTGGTGAAGGGGACAACCACCACATTGACGGGTGTTATGCTAATAATGAGTATATTGTCTTAGAGGATCCGCCGCCTGATGAACTTCAAGGAGAAGAATTGATCGATAACTCCGTGATGGAAAGTGTTCCTATTGGCACTAATAGCGATCATGATACACAGGGCGATGACTTCTCATTCATGAAGGGAGATCTATATGAGAGTAAGGAGAAATTGATCCATGCGCTTCGCTCGTATGCCATTGCAAAAAATGTCAAGTTTAGGCCAACAAAAAATAACACAACAAGCTATAATGCTGTTTGTTTTTATCGCAAAGATGGTGAAGATGAAGATCTTGATGGACACTACGACGGGAATGCGAATTGTCCTTGGAAGCTTAATTCACATTCGGGTGTAAGAGTAGGTGGGCATTTCAAAATCACGGCGTACAACGGAGTCCACACATGTAGCAATCCTCGATTGGAGATGAATAACAAGCATGCGTCCTCTTCTTTTATATATCGATTGATTTTACCGCATCTGAGGGAGGATCTTGATCTACGGCCAAAATATATTCGTCTTTTAGTGCATAAAGCGATCAACTTGGATGTATCATACAATAAGTGTTGGAATGCTAGGAGGAAGGCGATAATAAAAATATTTGGGGATTGGGACAAATCTTATGAGATCTTACCGCATTATCTTGAAGCACTCAAAAGAGAAAATCCTGGGACTGTATATGAAGTTTCATCAGACCCTCTTGATGGCGAAGAACGACGATTTACGGGTGTATTTTGGGCATTTGGGCCTTGTATTGAGGGTTTCCAATATTGTCGTCCTCTTCTTAGCATTGATGGCACCCACTTATGCGATCAACCGGACCATAACAAAAATA